ACTCTTGCCAAGTCCACATTCTCATCCTGACAATCAGGTTAACCCCCTCATTTGTATTGAAAACACTGGAACCGATAGCTGCCCTTTCTTTTATTGGACCTATGTATCCTCCTTCCTGAGCACTATGCCCCAATCATATCCCCATTTCCTTTACCTAGCTCTGTCCACTGTAAGCTAGAAATTGGTCTGAAACTTACTTCCTTAGTGTGGACTTTTATTTTTTGAACATAGTACTGCAATAAAATGCATGTTGTGTTTTTTATTAATTTATTTAAGATTTATTAATATAGGAAACTCTGTCATATGATAACCCAGAAGAGTTTGTACAGTTTTTCTGCCAATCCCTATAAAATACTTTTATATAATGGAATTAAAAGTCCTTAAAAAGTCCTAGCAGGGCCATAACTCTAAGGATCTTGAGCATCAAAAGACATTACCTACAGTACAAAAAGACAGGGAAAAATTAATTGCATTTGACAAACACCGTCACTTCCTATCAAAGTCTGTAAGTCACTACAGAACATCAGTGATGACATGGCCAACACTCACTATGTTCACAGGAGATATAAAATGGAATATTAGATACATAGGGTACTCTAATAGCATTCTAACATTGTGGGGTATGGCTACATACATCCAGTTCCCCAATAAGCCAATGTGCCTTTCCAGTCACACAATCTGCTAGTGCAAGGGTTGTCAAATGGGGGTACATGTACCCCCAGGAGTACTTAGAAAGGTCTTGGGGGTATGTGTGGCCAGGTGGGGACAGAGTGAGCCCCAGGGTGAGGTGGCGGCATCACCCCTGGTTCATTTGCCTCTTATCTGGGGGGAGGGGAGAGGTGCGTCAGGCACCGCCAGCCCCACACAGCATATCATATCACCTCTCCACCCAGGCAGAGGGATAAAAAAAATTGGAGGAGTCTGCAGGAGGAGGGAAAAGGGCTGTGGGGGGAGGGAGTGGGGCTGGGGCAGGCACTGCCCTGCCAGGGAGGGAGGGGTGGGGTGCAAGACAGAACTGTGGCTCATCCGGGGGGCACAGGGTTGGGGGGAGGCTCCTGCCACTGCTTGTGCCCTGGGAGGGTATGGGGGCTGTGTGCTCCCAGATGTGCCTGGGGCAGGGCAGGTTGCCACTGAGGGCTGGGGCCAGGGCTGTGCCAGGCTCTTCCTGGCAGGAACTGAACTGGGCTGTGCTCAGGACTGGTGGTGGCAGTGCTAGGATGGGGTTTGGGGACACTAGGGTGAATTGTGGGGTGGCTGCAGCCCCCTTACAGTAGCCCTGCTCCCAGCGCTCCCAGCCCCACTCCCTTCCCCACCACTGGGGCAACCCAGCCTGCCCCACCCCACCTGCAGATCAGGGACACACACACTCATGCCCTCCTGAGGTACGCACAGTGGTGGAAGCTGCCTCCATCCTGCACCCTCCAAATGATCCAGTTGCAGCTCCATCCCACACCCCACCCCAGCTGTGCAGTGCCTGTCCCTGCCCCACTCTCTCCTGCACCATGGGGGCCTCAGTCTGCCGCCCTCTCCTACTTAAAAACAAGAAAAAAATATAAGGGGGTACAGGAGCTGAAACTTTGAGTCAGAAAGGGTACACTTATTAAAAAAGGTTGAAAACCCCTGTGGTAGTGCATAACAGCAGTCCATAGCTAACAGATTTACCCTTTGTGCGTCTAGATGCAGCATTTCAGACATGTCTGCAATGCTGCACACTGTATGTGCTGAACATACAGGCATTTCCCACTGATAATTTGCAGCATGGGGGGGAGGGGATTAACACCAAAAAATCCTAGTGTAAAAAAAAACTTCACCTTAAAAAAGCGGGGCAGTGCATGTGACGGCAGTGTATGCCACCAGGAACTGGAGCCTTGCCAGCCAGAGCCACACTCCAGCTGCCAGCTAGACTCCATGCTGCCAGGTTGCCATGGCTGCAGCCTCCAGGGGCATCACAACCCCAGGTAAGGCTCCTGGGACCAGCCCAAGTGATGGCCCCAGCTTCCCCTACCCTACACAGAGCAATGTGCCATGCCCCAGGTAGTGTGTGCATGGGCATTTCCCAGGGACAAACAGCAGTAGCTGCACATGTGCTGCTGCTGTTTGTCCTCAGGGAAATGCATGTTCCCACTTGTGGGCACATGCCCTATCTTTGCAAATAGATATCATCTTTGCTGTTAAGTGAACAGAACAGCGATGTGTTTTTCAATGTTAGGACCGCCTGGAACAGTACAAACACTGTCACCAGCCTGTTATCTGCAGTAGCACAATTAAGGGGATAGGGAGGGGAAGGAATAGAAACCTAGGATCTGGTGCAGCCATTGGCTGGCCATTCCACTTCCACTGGCAGCCCAACAGCTGCCACTGTCCCATGCCCTGCCACTGCCAGGGTGCAGAGCTGCCATGTTATGTCCTGCTCTCTGTTTCTACAAATCCCCAATTCTGCCTGATTAATAAAAGTTAAACATAATCTGTCCCAAGCAGATGATCCATGTTAAAATAAATACAGAGCAACAAAACAATGTGTAAGCTATAATACATATCACTAAAACCCTGTGACGTTAGTTAATCTGCATGCCAGTTTGCACAGGAGGAAAATTACTAAATATCTTCCCATCTCCAGGGCCTGGGAGATTAAGACTAGGAACAGAAGTGGTATCTCAACATTGTGGTGTGGGGAAAAAAAATTATCAGTGAAACCACAGAAAATGAACAAATAAACTACTTGTTACTTTTCTTGACTTACAGATTTGGCAAGAGAGAGTTCCAGACTTAAAGGCCACCATCATTAAACATTGCTCAATATCTGACAAGTTTGAGGGCCTAAAGGAAATGTAAGAAGAAGAGATGTTTGGGAATCCTACTGAGGCATCAATGATGTATGAGGGCTGCAGATAATTAGAGGGATTTCCTAAAGGAGGAGAGGATCATGACAGTCACCACTGGACCGCTGGAGCAGCTGAAGAAGAGGCTTCCAATCTAAACCAGGAGCTGGCATAACGAAATTTTGACAGAGTTTTAAATGCAGTGATTTCTAATGGATATAATGAACAGACATATAGCTCTGCTAGAGAATCCTCAAAACTCCCCGCCTTGCACAGGGAGAAGAAATCACCACCAATAGAGCTTCCAGCCCTCCACATAGAACTTGTCCTTACATGTTATGTATACTGTATTCACCCCCCATAAGTCAATTTACACTATTTGTTTTAATTTATAGTTTTTGTACTCTCTTGTGTGTGGTTCATAGATAAATATATAGATAAAGAGATACATAAAATCTGGGGTTTTTTTAACTTAAAAGAAAGCTTCCCTCCATCATGTACAGTTTATACCAAAAAAAACCCCAAACCCCTCCCAAATATAGAAAACTGAGCTAACCTTGGCATACATGGCCACATGTTCATGTAGACCAAGAACCTTAAGGTAAAAAGTATAAAAATGTAAAAATCAAGAAAGCACAGAAAATATGTAAAACCATGCCTATTCAATGAAAGTCAAAGGAACACAATGCTGAAAGTACATGAAAATATCAAACATAGACAGCAGGAGCCCCAAATAGCCAGTGAACCCACGCAGACTGACAGGCTCAGGAATCCTCATACTTCAAGCAAAGAAGACCAGGGTTACAATAGGTTAAAATTCACACAAGAAGTACAAGGAGGATATACAGGAAATCATACACTCCCATCATACAGAAACCTTAGGGCAATTGGCTTGTTCTATGATATTTCGTCTCCAGCTACTTTTCATGACCTACCTCATAACGCCACGTGGCAGCTGTCCTACAATGCATAGGGTGTAGTAACAACACAAAGGACCTGGGGATGTTCATTATGACATGAAATTAATGGCAGGCAGTGCGAAATCAGACAGCTATTTTGGTACACAGCTTTGCTTTGATACCTTTACATCAAAAATGTTGTGTGACATTTTTTGTCATTCATACTGACATGCTTTCCAAGCTGCTCCCCCCCGCCAGCTTTTTGGGCAGTTTCTGAACTGTAAAGGACCTTAAGAACAGAATCTATTTTCCTTTCATGCAGCCATCCATGAAAGTACATGATGTTTTTGGCACTTATGCACACTTTGTGATCGTATTCCTTGTGCAGTATGGATGTGTATGAATAGTCTTCAAGGCTACTACGCGTGAATAGTAGGGTCCTTGCTGGCCAGGCAGGTATGTTACTTCATGTGCATGAACCAGTGAGATGTATTTCCTGAAATCAAATCCAGGAAAAAACTCCTGCAAGGTGTGGAGTCTCTGCTGCAAGAGGAGGGCTAGAGAGAAGACTGGATAGTGCCTGACCTTTGACCTAGTGGTTGCCACACTATGCTGAGAATCTGCAGCAATGTAAGTCTAAACCTGACACTTTGTGGAGGTTGGGGGATAGAACCAGGGACTTCCCACATGAATGTCCTAATGACGATGTTATTGGGCTGAAACCCGACTACTTTTTTGGGACTTAGGCTCAGGTATGCACATATGGAGCCATGTACCTATCCATCCAGAGCATGCTCAGTAGCTATAAGGACCTTTGCACATCTGGAATAGGATAAAAACTATGTTTAAAAGTGACAGAATGTCAGTTGCCTGGTTGGTACATGCTATTTGGAGTGTAAGGTGAAACAGGATTCTGTCCTTCATATTTACATCCAGCTGCAGGGCTGGAAGGGACCTCCAGAGGTTATTTAGCCCAATCCTCTGCCTGAGGCAGCATTATCCCTATCAAAACCATCCCATACAGCCATAATCTAAACTCTACATAAGACTCCCTCAACCCTAACACAAAATAGACCTAACATCCTTACCTGCCACAGGTGAAGCAGGGGAGCCATAGCAGCTAATGTCCTGCTTCTATAAACTGCTGTCAGTATATGCTCAAGAGGTCACAGTAAAGGGCCACCCCCCCTACTCCCGCCACTATAAAGAAAAGTACAAATCTCCACAGTTCATGTCAATTAGGCCATGGGGTAAAATTCCTTCTTAACCCCAAATATAGCAATTGGTCTGACCCTAAGCAGAGGAGCAAGACCCTCTAGCCAGGAATCTGGCCTTTCTCCTAACAGAAGAATCAGCACTGAAGTTCCCAGCCTTAGCTGCAGCTAACACCCAATACCTCCTGGAAGGCTGAAGAACAAACACCCTGACACATATAGCAGAAGAAGGCGTATGGGGGGACACAGGAGTAACACACAAAGCCCAGAACCATGGGAAATACCCATGGTAGAAAACAGGCATAACTACACCTAGATCATCCCCAACCAGTAACTATCCAACCAATTCTTGAACACTTTCAGTGATGGTGAGTCCACAACTTCCCTAGGCAGTCTAGATTACTGCCTCAGTATTTTAACAGTGAAGTTTGTTTATTTCTCCAGATATCCAATCTAAACTTAATTTGCTGCAACTTCAAGCCATTGTTATGCATCCTCCTCCCTGCAGCAAGACAGAAAAGGTGCTTTCCCTCTTCTTTATGATAGCCCTTCAAATATTTGAAGACTGCTATCATGTCACCTCTTAAACACCTTTCTACAAGCTGAATATACTTAACTCTTTCACCCTCGCTTCGTAAGACTTGTCTTACAAGCCCTTGATCATCTTTGTTACCTGCCTCTGGACCCTCTCTAACTTCCCTGTGTCCTTTTTAAAAGTGTGGAGCCCAGGACTGCACACAATACCCCAGATGAGGCCTAACTAGTGCCAAATAGAGAGGCACTAACACCTCCTGTGTCTTGCACCCAAACCTTAACAGTAAAACTGGTTTTGATCAAATATGCCAAATCCTCTCTTTAATTGGGCATGAGTATAAGCAATCAATAACAAGAGAAATAAGAACCTCACAACAAAAGCTTACCATGCATAGGAAGTCTTTCAAAGCTATCAGATTTCCACTGTAGCAGTTGCATGCTATTATTTGTAAGGGTCTGAACTGGTATAGTAGTATATGCCACTTGAAAACACACAGATGGAGAGGTCTTGGTTAGCTTCTCAGCATACTTCAATCTCCTATTAGTGGCATTTCAGTGCCATCTCAGTTCAGAAGCTGTATGTTTGGCCAACCTAGTAAGGATGGCTTTAAACCTAGTTCCACATGGGATGGTGAACAAAGCCCTTAAACAACAGAACACAGTCCAGAGGGGAAAGGACTTGAAGAAGCAACTTGACTCTGGGAAAGGTCCAGAGAGCCACAGGACAACAACAAATTGTGTTGGGAGTGACGTGTGCTCTGTCCAAGTTTGCGGATGACACAAAGCTATGGGGAGAAGTGGACACGCCGGAGGGCAGGGAACAGCTGCAAGCAGACGTGGACAGGTTGGACAAGTGGGCAGAAAACAACAGAATGCAGTTCAACAAGGAGAAATGCAAAGTGCTGCACCTAGGGAGGAAAAATGTCCTGCACACCTACAGCCTAGGGAATGACCTGCTGGGTGGCACGGAAGTGGAAAGGGGTCTTGGAGTCCTAGCGGACTCCAAGATGAACATGAGTCGGCAGTGTGACGAAGCCATCAGAAAAGCCAATGGCACTTTATCATGCATCAGCAGATGCATGACGAATAGATCCAAAGAGGTGATACTTCCCCTCTATCGGGCGCTGGTCAGACCACAGTTGGAGTACTGCGTGCAATTCTGGGAGACCAAGCCCTATGAGGAGAGACTGGGGCACCTGGACCTCTTCAGCCTCCGCAAGAGAAGTTTGAGAGGCAACCTTGTGGCTGCCTATAAGTTCATCACAGGGGCACAGAAGGGAATTGGTGAGGTTTTATTCACCAAGGCGCCCCCGGGGGTTACAAGAAATAATGGCCACAAGCTAGCAGAGAGCAGATTTAGACTGGACATTAGGAAGAACTTCTTCACAGTCAGAGTGGCCAAGGTCTGGAACGGGCTCCCAAGGGAGGTGGTGCTCTCCCCTACCCTGGGGGTCTTCAAGAAGAGGTTGGATAAGCATCTAGCTGGGGTCATCTAGACCCAGCACCCTTTCCTGCCTATGCAGGGGGTCGGACTCGATGATCTATTGAGGTCCCTTCCAACCCTAACATCTATGAATCTATGAAATAAAGTTACTCCTGAGGAAGTCAGAGTAAAATTACTCTTGAGAAAGTTACAGTAGTGTATGAGTGCATCTACACAAGATGCTACTGCACAGTGGTTACTATGCATTTATTTAGTACCTGTATAATCAATTACTAAATAAATGCATCAGTAGCACTGGTGAACATATTTTAAGTGACACTACTGTGCAGTACCCTAATAATACTGTGCAGTAGCATATTAGCACTGTCAGTGCTGTGATGTGTTACTGTGCAGTATTAGTCAGTTACTGTGTAGTCAGCATCTCATAGAGATATGTCGTATGGGTAGTGGATCTGCTGCCTTTCACTACAGTAGTGCAGTGGTCATCCAGAGACAATAGCACTTTGATTTGCACGCTAACAAAATGGTTGCTCAGCTCCATCCCCCATCTCCACTGCTCAGAAGAAATGGCCATTTCTTCTTCTGTCCCTATATAGGGTGTACAAAGGAGTTGTAACACCATATTGTACTGGATTCCGCTCCTGCAAAGCAACTCAAGAATGAAAGGGCTCAAGATATAAAGATGTCTTACAAGAAGGCATGGGATTCCAACTGTGTGGCAGATAGAAGGAGGATATTGTGCCTTTTCTATGAAGAGATATTCAGCATCCAGGCAGGTGACAATAACATTGAGCTGTGAGGCATCCTGGATTCTGGCCTCCAGTCTGAGGATAATCCAAAACCTGTCCCTGTGGAAGATAATCAGGACAAGGGTGGAGAAGTCTCTTCAGAACACCTACTTTTCTATAACACCCAAGAACAAGAGCTGGTGGTCCAAACAAGTAGAGGACAGCTCTGATGCCACCACCATCAAGGAGCTACCATCACCTATGACCACAATTCCCAAGATCCAGCCCAATATTTTCTAGGCAGCCACTGTTTCTATCACCCTTTTCATTGAAGGTGAAGTTCTATGTTTCCAGTAGTATTAATCTTGACAACTCCTTCCCTTGTTCTAAATGTTTTACCAGCATCCAAGGACCAAGTATCCTGCAGGTGGGCATAGGTCTGCTACCCTGACCACTCGAGAAAGAACATGGCAATCAATCAATACCTCGTGTGTCAACTGCCATTGCAAGGTTCCACCTCACCCTGATTGTGGGACCATAGTCAGCATGCCATGTTGTGTCAGGGTCTCCTTGACTAACTCATGAGTAATAATGAGTTTCCTTTATCCCCCCATAG